TATCTATTCAATGACTGCAGTAGGATATGTAGCCCCAGTTAGGTGCTAATTTATAGGATGTGTAAAGTTAGACTTGTGCTCATGGAAATGTGTGTGTCACATGTGTTTGCTAGGAGGGTATTTGGACTGATGAGGGTCTTTGGTGATTCAATAAAATGTGGGGGGGAAAATGGTATAGAAATAGATAACAGAGACAGTGTGGGAGGAGAACAGGAGGTGGCAGAGGGTAAGAGAGGGAACCAAGGATGGGGGAGAAAAAGCAAAACATACAGAAAACAAGAAATGGAAGATCATTTGCTAATAATAACATGTTTGTTGATGTGCTTGATTGAGACAATATACAGTGTACTCTGGATGGAAAATCTCATTATGTATGCTGTAATGATGTACAGTGAATGAATGCAAATAAATTGGAAAAAAAATAGTCAAAAAAAAAAAAAAAGAAAACAACCTGATTTTAAAAGTGAGCGAGCAGCCCAGCCAGGTGGTCTAGTCCCTAGCATACTGAGCTACAGAGCTGGAGGACACATGGCTGACTGCAGGTTTGAATCTCCAGACTGGTCTGAAAACACACCAGGTGAAGGTATGCACTCAAAATCTGAGCTGGAGAGCTGGGAAATATAATGGAGATGATAGCATCATGAGACCCTGAAGAGGGGATTTTCTCTCTCTCACTCTCCTCCCTGCATGGGCGCATGCTACCTTTCATGGATAAAATAGACGGACTTGACAAGAAAGTGGGAGGGGGGAGGCAAGTAATTTGAATAAACACTTCCTCTAAAAAGCTATATAAATAGCAAATAAGCAAATGAAAATATGTTCAACATTATTATTCACTGGGGAAAATGCAAATTGAAACTATAATGAGATACTATCACCTATTCATATAGGTAAGATAAAGAAAAAAATAAACACTGACAATACCAAATGCAATAAAAAATGCAGAGCAACTGGAACTCTCACATATTGCTGGTGGGAATGTAAAATTATTCAATGACTTTTGGAAAAAAATTTAGCAACTTATTACATACATTCATCATATGACATAGCAATCTTGTCCATAAATATTTACTCAAAGGAAATAAAGGCACAAGTACATACAAAAACCTGCATATGAATATTTATAGAAGCTTTATTCATAATCATCCCCAAACAGTAACAACCCAAATAGCCTTCAGTTGATGGATTAAAAGAATTGTGCTATATCTATATAATGAAATCCTACTTGACACTATAAAGAAATGAACTGAAAGGAAACTAACAGACCATGTAAACATCAGTATGAATGACTCTCAAATGCATTCTGCTAAAATTTAGATTTCCTTAGGCTACATGGCATGATTATGTTTATAAGACATTCTAGAAAGAGAAAACTCTAAGGACAGAAAACATTAGTGATTGCTAGAGCCTAGAGTTGTAGGGAAGATTGACTACAAAGTATAAAAGGGCATTTTTCATGGGGAGGAGCTGTTCTTTATCTTGAACTATTCTGTATCTTGACTGTGGTTATGTACATGACTATGTATTTGTTGAAACTCATAGAACTCTAAAAGGATGAATGCTATCACATGTAACTTGTAAGTTATGCCTCAATAAACTTAGCTTCAATTTTTATTTTAATATTTTGATATTTACTTTATATATTTGCATTGAAAATGGTCATTTGTCTTGTTCGAAGTTTCCTAACTGTGTGGCTTCTGATCTGATGCCTGCATAATATGATGTGCAAGATGACTTTAATAAAAAAAAAAAAAGTTACCTTGTACAGGAGTTTACTCACTCATTCATGGCATAAAAGCACTGTATGACTGTGGGCAAGACAGACTCAACCTGAGAAGGACGATGCCAGGACGCACCTACCATGCTGTGCCCTAACTTCAAGGTTTGTTTTGTTTTTTTAAGAATTATTTATTTAATTCCATTTGCTATTATTATTATTATTATTAGTAGTAGTAGTAGTAGTAGTAGTATTTAATTTGACCAGAGAGAGACAGAGAAAGAGAGAAAGGGAAAGAAACCAAGCCACCAGGTCCAGGACTCAAACCGTGGTCGGCCATGTGGGAATCCAGTGCTTTTAACCACCACACCACCTGCCGGCCCCCCTAACTTCAAGTTTTAAAAAATATAAAAAGTTTTTTTTAAAGTTGCTAACCAGGAACAAATAGGATAAGGATCAGGGTCAAGTGAATGAGAAAAATCTTGTAAGAAGGAATAACAGCTACTTAATCTAAAAAGAGGGAAATGATTTCAAGCCTATAAAACAAATAAACTCTCATAGTTAAGGTCTGAAAACATAGCTTCAACCTTGCCTGAGAGGTTATCAGAAAAGTACAGGAATATCTTCATAAATGAGAATTAATTTGATAGTTACTCTAGAATGAAGGCAACTGAAAAAGAGCCATAGAGTGTGTGGTAGGCGGAAGTCTAAGATGGTCTTCGGCTGGCCTATGTGTGCTGTACCATCAATCCTCTACACCTGAGTGTGGGTGGACTTATAAATATGGTGGGAAATCACACTCCCAAGATGAGGTAACTAGGTGGTCGATTGTAAATTCATCAAAAGGCAGATAACCCTGGGTGAGCTTGACCTACTCAGACACGCTTCAAAAAATGGACTGAGGCTTTCCTGAATGGAAAGATTCACACCGGGCTTGAAAAAGCAGACAACTACCTGTGTTGTGAACTTCTCCAGGAGGAGTTCATGAGGCAGAGGCTTGAGGGCAGGCTCCAGGTGTAGAAACGGTCTCTAGCCTATTGTCAGCAAATGGGGACTGAATTCTACCAACCACCAGTGATCTTGGAAAAGGACCCAAGGACCAGCAACTGGCATAATAGTTACATTGCTGGACTGTCACATAGTTGACCATGGTTCAAGTCCCAGACGTGGAGGCTTAAAGCTCATGTTGGGTGCATGTATGCACATGACCAAAATCCCAAGAGGAGAATGGAGGAGAAGGGACTGAGGTGTGGCCATTCCTCCTGGGGGCGATTTCTCACTTTATGTCTCTCTCTGTTTCTCTGGTGAACACATGCACCTAATACCAAAAATCTCTCCCCGAAAAAAGGGACAAAGGACTCTTAATCTTAGATGATAGCAAAACTCAATGGCTAACATTTTGACTACAGCCTGGTAAGATTCTGAGCAGAGAACTAGGTTATGTCATGCCCAGATTTCTACCTAGAGAAACTGTAAAATGTTTATTGATTTAAGACACTAAGTTCATGGTGATTTTGTCATGAAGCAATCGAAAGTCAATTCAAAGAGGGATAAATGAATTAAAAAGTGTCAAACTATTAGAGTTCAGTCAATGAGAATATTCTTCTGACTTGGATCCCAATGGCTTCTCATCTATTTGTTTTACTGAGTTACTGTATGTTGGACCAAAAGGCCTCACAAAAGGTAACGTCATGGAGAGAGGAGGGGAAGACGAAGAACTCAGCCACCATCTATGCTGTCCAGTGGGGAGCAAAGAAACTCACCAGGGCCATCTTATGGCACAGCAGTAAGGCGCTGCTCACGAAGCTGGGTCCCATGTGGCAACAGCCATTAGAATCTCAGCCGGCTCAGCCTGAAACATGCCGGCCTGTGTGCAAGTCCCAGGATCTGGTGGGCAGCAGGACTAAAGGAAGGGGATCCTGGATCTGTGGGGAATACTCATTTCTCTCTCTCTTTTTCTTTCTCTCATGTACACATGCACACAATCTATCATGAATAATGGGAAAATGTACAAAAGAAAAAAAACAAAACAAGAAAAGAAAGCCCACCATAAACAGTGAAGGGGCCTTCTGCTAGAGGATCTCTGGCCTATTTTCCTACACTAGATAACATACTGGCCCTTCCTCTGCTCTTAGTTTTCTTAAAGAATCATGTATTTATTTAATTCCATTTGTTATTATTATTTTATAATTTGACCAGAGAGAGACAGAGAGAGAGAAAGTGAAAGCAAAAAAGCAAGCAGCTGGGTCTGGGACTTGAACCACAGTTGACCATGTGGGAATTCAGCCCTCTTAACCACCATGCCACCTGCCAGCCCCTTTTCTTTTTTTAATTAAAAAAAAGACTTTTTAAAAAGAATTATTTATTTAATTTTATTTATCATTATCATTATTGTTATTATTCTTTTTTTTTTTTTTTGGAGAGGTTTTCGCTATAGGGCACGTGCGCTCGCCAGACAGACAGAGAGAGACATAGAGACAGAAAGCGAGAAATCACCCCCAGGGGGGATGATCACGCCGCAATCCCTTCTCCTCCATTCTCCTCTCGGGATCTTGGGCACACATGCACATGCACCCGGCACGAGTTTTAAGCCACCGGGTCCGGGATGCAAACCGCGGTCAACTATGTGGGAGTCCAGCGACATAGCCATTACACTAACTGCTGGTTCCTTCCTTTATTATTTCTTTTTAATTTGCTACAGGGCGTGTGTGCTCACCAGAGAGAGAGAGAGAAAGCAAGCTACCCATTCTGGGACTCGAACCACGGTCAGCCATGTGGGAATCCAGTGTCTCAATCACCATGCCACCTGCCAGCCCCCTTCTGCTCCTTTCTTTAGCTCAGGCTGACTGCAGCCACCCAGCACTAAGTGCCCTCTCTGGGTCAGATACCTCTCACAGGTCTCCAGGGCCAACAGTGACATCCGGGAGAGAACCACATCAGTGTTTGCTGGACTCTCTAACCACTTACCACCCTCATTTGTGAGGCTGGGCACCAGCAAATAGTCATGCAGCTTTATCACCATGAAAGAACGCGTGAATCATTCCTGAAGAGTCTTTCTACATGAGAAAGTGGATAGATGGTCTCCCTCCAAAGAATATCATTTGGCTTCATAGAGTAGATGATACTATTCCATTACAAAAGGTATTTATAAAAAATTACACTTCTCATTTTCGTTTCAATTTCTTAAAAAAGAAAAGTCATTTTCATAGTACTGTTAGTTCTTTTATGTGAAAACATTAATTCTAAACATCATGTGATGAAAATGGAACATGAAATAACTTACCCTGTAACTCTTCAGTCTGATGAAATCGACCTTCATAGAGACAAATCGATCTGAATTCCGGCTGATGTTCTTCAGGTGTTCCACAAGATCCGCACAGAATTTGTAACCTCCTTTAAGCACACACAGGACCATGATGTCACAGTAGCCTATGTCTTTCATAATATCCTTAGCCAGCCGCTCGATTCTGCAAAAAATGTCCGGGATAAAAGATATATTACAGTACAACTATTTCTGAGTGTTCTTGTTTCTTTAATAAGAATGTATAATACATAGGAAATAATCTGGGGAATGTGGAGGAAAGCTTGTGAAAACAAAATCTACAAATAGAAAAGCTTTGTAAAGGTCGGACACAAAGGGAGTGTTCACAACATACTTGTGATGGCCACGTCATCATCAAAGGTATACTCTTGCTCCCCTATGTCATAAAAATGGTTACGGTGGAAAGTATGTCAGAGATCAACGCCTGCGACGGTTTCATCACTACTGAGCCTGGCTGTTGAACTTACCGTGAAGGTATGTGGCGATATTATGCTCACTTTATAGCTGGGAGAAGGGAAATAGAGGGTGACTCACCCACTTTACAACAGTGTAGGAAACTGGAGGAAAAGTCAAACCTGTCCTAAGTCGCAGAAGAATAGCGCGTGTCTTATATTTGACAAAGGCAGCACACTGTCTGTGTGAGAGGTGCCCCAGAGCACAACTGCAGCAGGCAACGTGTCCATGGAACACAACGTGAAGAGTGCCCCCTGGAGTTGTGCAACAGGCAGTGACCTCCGACTGCCCCCTGAGATCTCATTAGGAACCATCCTTGTATTTTTTCCTAATTGCCTCTCACCTCTAAGACAGTTTCCATACACTACACAACATTAAACAGAGGAGGGTCTAAGGCATATACCTCTTTTTTTTAAAATCTCCACTGCACTTCAAATAGATTTAAAATAGGTAAACGGAAGTCAGCAAATAGTTTGGTTGTTAAGGAGTTGGATTCCCACATGGTTAACTGCGGTTCAAGACCTGCACCTGGTAGCTTAAAAACCATGTGGTGCATGTGTGTGTGTATGTCCAAAATCCCAGGAGGAAAGTGGAGGAGAAGGGATTGTGGTGTGGCCATCCCGCCCCAGAGGGGAGGTGATTTCTTACTTTCCCTCTCACTGTTTTTCTCTCTCTCCAGCAAGCACACACACCCTAAATGGCAAAAACCTGAAAAAATAATAATAATAAAATTTAAAAATAACAATAAGATAGATAAACCCAACTTTATACATATGTGTGTATACATCATATTAATTTTTATATATTTTACATATGTAATATATGCATGACATATTATATACACATATATTTTATACATACGAACACATATACACACAGGACGCACAGAACAGTAACCATGGTTTCAGGCAATGTTTTTCAAACTACGATCGTAAAAAAAGGTATATCAGAATACTGGCATGCTCCTTAAAAAGCGATGGTTATTTCTAGCATAATAGAATAAGGAAGTCAACATACCTGCTTCACAAAAAGCAACTATAAAGCTAGACAAAATGATCATCTCAGAACTCCGGAAATCAGCCAAAGGTGTACACTAACTGAGAAACACTGAATCACGGGACATCGGACACTGCATAGAAATGATGAGTCTGTGGTGTTCTTGCGGGGGACACTCCCATCACCCGCCTCTGCCGTTTAGCCAGGTAGTTCAGTCAGGGTGGGGCATGGCAGGGGAGCTCACCCACCCAGGAACGCTGAGAGCTCGCATGGCCACCTTGGTAGCATGGTGCCATTATCCTGAGGTGGCAGACTTGGCAAGCCAGTAGGGGTTTGGACGGAGAGTTCAGGGGATTAGAGAGTCACAGGGCAGGGGCACACGAGTTCCTCATCTGTCTCAAGGGGACCAGCAGCTGTAGGTAGGCACAGCAGAGGCTGGAGGGGGCCCAAGCTGCGCATACATTCCTGGGTAACGGAGGCTGTTCCCATGCTCAGAGGAGACAAGAGAGCCCGGGAGGAGAAAGAGCTGGGGAGGACTTGAATAAGGTTGGAAATGTGACATGCTTGCTGGCCTGCACACACGTCAAGGAGCAAGGAGTGGAAGCTTTACTGCCTTTCAGGGTTTGACCATCACTTCCACCCAGCTACAGGCTGGACTCTAAGCTACTGAGACACAGAGGTGAACTGTAGTAGGTGAGGATTGAAAAAAAAAATAAGAAAAATAAACTGTACAATCCTGAGGCCACATACTATGGGGGAGACAGATTTCACAGAAGGGAAAACAAAAAAGAAAAACAAGGAAATAGGATATAAATATGATGGATATGAAACTGATTATATCAATAACTGCTGTCAATGTAAATGGTCCAAATACACCAATTAAAGATACTGTCAGAGTGGATGAAGAACAAAAGACCTAACTATAGGTTGACGACAAGAAACCCCTCTTAAATATAAAAACACAGGCCAGCCCCAGTGGTGCAGTGGTACTGCAATGCTTCATGATGCAGGTGCCACATCCAGAAGTCCCAGATTGGCACCGCGAGGTCTCCCTGTGCCCCCTGGGTACACACATCTGCCTGTGACCCAGCCCGGCTGAGACTAGGGCTAGGAGCCAGTGTGAGGACGCTGATGGCAGTACCCACCTCTGTCTCTCTCTCTCTCATGGAAGAAATAAAAATGGATGTTTTTAAGAAACATAAAGACACACAGATTAAAAATAAAGGGATACAGGGCCAACAGGTGGCATGGTGGTAAAGGCACTGGATTCCCACATGGCAGACCATGGTTCAAGTCCTGGCCCTGGCAGCTTGCTTTCTCACTTTCCCTCTCTCTCTCTGTCTCTCTCTAGTGAGTGTATGTGCCCTATAGCAAATTTTAAATAATAATAAATAAAATTAAATAAATAATATTTTAAGAAAAAAAATTAAAGGGATAAAGAAAGACCTGTCATGCTTGGTCTAATCAAAAGAAAGCTGAATTAATTCCAGACAAAGCAGATTTCAGAGCAAGGAAAATCATTACATAATGATAAAGAGGTTGATTCTCTAAGAAGACATAGCAATCCTTAATGAATTTGCTCCTAACGATGCCAAAACCTGATAGAGCTACAAAGAGAAACAGACGAATCCACTGTTGGATTTGGAGACTTCAACACCCCTTTATTATAACTGACATATCCAAGAGGTAGAAAATCTGCAAAGATAGAGATGAACCGCCCAGCACCATCACCCACTGAATCTAATTCACATTTATAGACTATGTCATCCAATAACAGCAGAGCAGCAGAATACACTTTCTTCTCAAAAGATACCAACAAGGAGGAAAAACCAACCAAACAAACAAGCCATAGGCTGGAGAAAATATTGGCAAATAATATATTTGATGAAGGACTTATATTTAAAGTATATAAAGAACTCTAACAACTCAATAAGAAAATAAATAACAATTTAAAACTTATAAAAGATTTGAATAAATGTCTCTCCAAAGAAGATGTACAAATAGCTAAGAAGTATAAAAAATGATTAGAAAAATGCCAATTAAAACACAATGAGAGGACTAGCAGGTGGCATAGTGGTTAAGGCACTGGACTTCCACATGGCTAATCACGGTTCAGTCCCTGACCTGGCAGCTTGAAACACATGCCAGATACATGTGCACACATGCCCAAAATCCGGAGAGGAGAATGGAGGAGGAGAGATTGTGACATGGCCATTCCCCTTAGGGGGAGTGGTTTCTCATTTTTTTCTCTCTGTCTCTCTCCGTGTCTCCAGCAAGTACACACACCCTGTAGCAAAAATCTCTTGAACACACACACAGAGTGAGATACCATTATACATCCACTAGACTGGCTGTAGCCCAAAGGACAGACAATACTAAATGTTGACAAGGATGAGGAGAAACTGGAGAAGCCTCATACATTACTGGTGGGAATGTAAAATGGTATAGCCACTGTGGAAAATTATTGGCAATTTTTTAAACTTCCCAGAAAATCCAGACTTCCATTCCAAGGAATCTATCCAAGGAATTGAAAAGATATATCTACATAAAGATCTATAGGTAGGGACCAGCAGTTAGCGTAATGGCCATGTCGCTGGATGCCCATGTAGTCGACCGTGGTTCGATTCTAGGACCCGGCGGCTTAAACTCACACTAGGCACGTGTGCATGTGTGCCCAAGATCCCAAGAGGAGAATGGAGGAGAAGGGATTGCGGCGTGACATCCCCCCTGGGGGGTGATTTCTCGCTTTCTGTCTCTCTGTCTCTTTCTATCTTTCGGGGAGCGCACGTGTCCTATAGCAAAAACCTCTCAAAAAAAAAAAAAAAGATTTATAGGTAAATGTTCATTAGCACATAATTCACAATAGTCAAAAAATGGACATCCAAATGTCTATCAACTGGTGAATCAGTAACTCGATATTGTGTGATTCCATACGGCCAGAAGAGGACAATACAGAGCGAAAGAGCAGACCAGCGGTGGCCTGGCACTGCGAAGGGGCTACGGACGGACTGCCAACAAATGTTGGGGATGATGGAAACTGGATTTTGTGACAGTTGCCCAATTATATCGATTTACTAAAAATCACTGAATCCTCGCCTACAAGGGGTAAATTATGTATTTTGAAAATTATAACGTAATACATTTCTCTTAAAGGTGAAGATGGGCATTCCT